GAAACAATCTTCCCCGCGGTTGTATTCCCCGCAAATTTGAGGTGGAGAAATGTCGTAAGTGACGTTGCTGTCGGACCGGCTTATTATGTAGTAGCATAAGGCTAAGGCGGCGACTTTAAATTCCATTTCACAAACTTTGCCTCCTCCCACCCTCCGTCTCCCACTATGTCCCTCAGCTTTTTTGCTCGTGCTGCCCCCGCTGTCCGGCGGTCAACTGTCCTCACTCGCACTGCTCAGTTCTCTGTGAGATTCCAGAGTAGCGCGCCAACAAAACAGAAACATGTTCCCCGTGTTCTTCCTGCGTTCTCTCTTGAGGGAAAGGTGGGCCTTTCTGTTCGTCTTTTCGCTTGATTGAGTCGTCTAACTATTTTATAGGTCTGTCTAGTCACTGGTGCTGCCAGAGGTCTAGGTAATGAATTCTGTCGTGCATTCATACAATCGTTCGTCTTTTTGGCCTTCTTAATTTACCGTGATGAAGGACTGATCTATTTTGGATTGTAGTGGATGCACGGAATTGGCTATTGTTGATCTAAAGGAGAGTGAGGCGCAAGCTGCTGCTGCTGAACTAGTCTCAAATGCATGCCGTTCGTAGTCTGCTGTATTCTGACGACACTACTGAAGAGCATCAAGTTAACAGCGACATGACCCCGGAAGACTTTAACGTGATTGGCGTCGGATGCGACGTGTCATCAGAGTTATCTGTTCAGCGCGCATTTGAGCATGTCATGGACACGTACGGGCGATTGGATTCGGTGGTTGCATCTGCAGGTAAATTCCTCCGTTTGCCGCAGCGTTCATCAGACACGTGAATGATATGATGTGATGCCCAGGAATTGTGGAGAACTACTCTGCATTCGAGTAAGTCGTTCGACATGTGTTGGAGCGTGCCTTGGAGCTGACGACCGGATCATAGTTACCCATTCGACCGGATAAAGCGCTTGTATGACATCAACGTGCATGGGGCCTTCTTTACTGCGCGAGAAGCCGCTCGGAACATGATTCCTCAGGGAGGAGGCTCCATCGTCCTTGTTGCTAGTATGAGTGCATCGGTATGTTAATCTGTGGAGACGCTCTTCTTTGTGTGAAATGCCTCTGACGATGTGTCTGTGCAGATCATCAATATTCCGCAGGTGAGTGATTGATTCCGGGATAAACTCATCGAGAGGATCTAACCCTATTCGCTTCGGGGATAGCCGCAAACACCTTACAATGCTTCAAAAGCGGGTGCGTCCGCATTCTACCTGCTGTCAATTGCAAGGTCACTGACACGATATTATTCTGATAGCGGTCCGTCACATGGCGTCGAGTTTGGGAGTGGAGTGGGCGAAGAAGGGTGTGCGAGTTAATACATTGAGGTTCGTGTTACGTTTCGCGTGGCCAACTGTGGGCTGATATGGGTCATGAAGTCCTGGATACATGTTGACAAAGCTTACCAAAACGATCCTCGCCCATGACCAAGATCTGAAGGTTGGTGCCTGTTGGTAGACTTGTTCGCTTGAAAGCTAATGGTAGTACAGAAAACCTGGGAGAGCCTGACGCCTATGGGCAAGGTGAGGTTAGCCTAGTTGGTTTAGACGCCCTACTGACTGGGTGAACAATTAGATGGGTGAACCAGAAGACTTGGCTGGTGCCATTGTTTTCTTGGCAAGTGATGCATCTAAATTCATGACTGGAGCCGAAGTTCGCGTTGATGGGGGGTACTGCGTTATCTAAGCCACTCGTTCTTATTCTTGTATCGTGTTTTGTTATGCAAAATGTTGGGAGTAGAATCACACATAGATTTTTTTACTAGATTAATTTCAGCTGTTTATAATACGTGGTTTTATGGTGTTCCGCTTCCGAACAAAGTATAGTACTACGTTTCCCATGGTAAGGTGATCACTTGAAGCGAAGAATGCATAGAAGGGTACCACGATAAGAACTTGCTCTTGTATGTCTCCACTTGGCGGATTTTATTACGTCTGTACCCAATATTCAATTAAATTGTTTTAATGAGGCAAATATTATTAAACGCGGCCAAAGATAGCAGGAGATTAAAGTATCTTATTTATGCTTAAGGCCAGGATAAATAACCCAAAGAGGGCTAGCCAGTTCGATGGGCAAACCTGAATGACATCATAGGTAGCTATTATAAATTACACTTCAATTCAAATCGCATATTATTGGGTTTTTCACCTACCTCGAACACGAGTCAAAATCATGTCCCTAAGTTCGCAACATGCGAATCTCACCCATAGGCCTTCCTCCCTGTCCAGATCCCAAGACACCCCACCCTCCTCATCTGCTAATATACCCAGTTCCACTTCCGCTATATCATCCACCTTTGAATTCACCAAGCGGAAACGCTGGGCAGATCTTCTCATACACGAATTGTCAGAGGCAATCATCTTTGTACTCTCCAGCGAGTCCAAGGTTTTATTTTGCTCAAGGGCCGTCTCAGAATTACTGGGTTGGCGAGATACAGAGCTTATTGACAAGGATATGCTCGACTTTGTCAACGGTGAGCATGCTTACCGTCTTCCAGTCGTGTTACCCGCGTGTGCTCATTTGTCATTCATTTCTTCAGGCGAAGATCAGCATGCTTTCCGTGTGTCATTTGAACAATCACTACGCTTGCGCATGGAAATGTTATCCTATGTTCGGTTCAAGTGTCAAAGCGAGTATACTTCTCCTGCCAAGGAGGTTCTCTTTGAAGTGAAGGGTTACCCTCACTACATCGATGACGAACAATACCCGCGGTGCTTTTTCGCGGTGGCAAAACCATATCCGAGTCGGAACACAGCAATGTAAGTGGATAAGCATGAATACATAAGTTAATTTTAGCGTGGTTTCTTGGCTGTCTGATGGAACTTTCTCGTACTCACTAGGTTAAACACATTCCTCGAGCTCAAGATTGAAAATGAACGGTTACAGCAGCGCCTCGCCGATCTCAGAGTTCGGCCATCGCCATCTTCTATTGCTCAAACTGGTCAATCGATGGCTTCCATGTATTCTACACCTTCCAATTCTCGTGGGCCTGTCTCAATAGTGACCCATCGCCCTGTGGGCGATTTACCCACCACGTGTTATGCGACCCATCAGATGAGCACGTCGTATGATGATTTGGTGACACAAACAAATCATCATCAACCACGGGGATTTACTGATTCTCCCAACGTGTACACATACGGTAGCTATGCTCATCATGATGATGCCGGTCAACAAGCGCAACAGCCAACAGAAGACAATTATGGCGACGATGCTGCCAGAAGGAAAAGAGTGTGTATCGCCATCGAACGTGAGCATTTATACTTATCGATGATCCAGATCCGCAAGATGCACGCCGCAGAGCAGTACGTATGCGTTACTTGTGGGCGTACAGATTCCCCAGAATGGCGCAAGGTCTCTCCCTTGCATCTTTCATATTCCATTAGTTGATATCTTCTCAGGGCCCACAAGGGCCAAAAACCCTTTGCAATGCCTGTGGTTTGCGATGGGCAAAACAAGTACGCACCAGACAGGATGAAGAACAGCCTAGCGCTGGGCCTAGCACCTGAATTCTATTCGGTACGCCGCACCTGTCAGCATACCGCCTTTCACGGACATATTTTCCCCTCAGTCGATGTTGAGGGCTACTAGGCTGTTTGGTGGCGTGCGGCCATCTTGTGAATGATGCCTGCGAAAATAATCGCTAAGCTGTTGGACCACTTTAGGTTACCAGTTTTCTTGCATAGAACACTTACATACACGATACGTAATATGTATATTAGACGTTGCACTCTTCAACCGACCCTAGGCTGCGCCGGAAGCTGTGTCTGAACCTACTTGGCGCGCCGCGATCCGATAATATTGGAAGTCCGTGACGCGTGAATGGGGCCAGTCGTTTGCATAAGGGTCTACATACCGTATTTGCTTCTGTTTAGCAGGACCGTAGCTGCCGATAACAGCCACGAGCAAGTGGCGAGCGCTGAGCTGGGTTCATGCCATGGGCGTCACCGAGGCAAGCTGGTGGCGTCTACTGACCCCAAGTATAACCAGGCCGTACTCGTGGATGTCGCCTCGCAAGAATTAATATTCACCAGCTGCAAGAGTACACAAGGTATGATTATGTATTTCTCGAGTTCCTGTGATGCTAATTTCATTGTACGTACAGGTCGCGTGGTACACCGGGGCAAGGCTCTGCATGTGTCTCGCAAGGACTTTGCCAAGTCACTATAGACAAAGCTGCCCAGGAAAAAGCCGACAACGATTATAATGTTCGGCTCTTGCGCATTGACAAAGACATTCAACAGCTTGCTAGCATCACACAAGCGCGACGAGCTCGAGACTATGGCTGGCGCTCTTTTGCTACAGACAATGGTTGAGCAGACTGCACGAATCAAAGAACACTTTGCAGGGAATCCAGTTAGCCCAAGGTTCGCGGGATTCCTTGAGAAGAAACGAACAGAAGACATGTAGGAAATGACCAGTCTGTATGGAGTTTGCGCAGACTTTGCGCCAAAGTATGGGGACATGTCTGGGCAACGCGTGTCTGTGATCGGAAAGTTCCGGGCGGTCGAAGGTCTGGCTGCCATCACCGGGTCCGCAACCACCCTGCCCTGCCGTCTAAATCAGCCACCATCACGTATTCCGCTATTTATGTCAAGTGTTATGCCAATCAATCTCGACATCCTTGCCAGCTTGCTGTCATGGTTCTAGTCACCTGGAGGGAGGACATGGCAACTGTAGACTGGGAACTGCGGACAACGACATGGCGTTGGCAGGCGGCTAGGAAACGGGCAAACACAGTGGAAGGAGTAGACGGACAGGCGAGTGTGAGAGACTTGCAGGGATCAGAATAGATGGAGGTGATGATCCTGATGGCAGGCGGGGTGATAGTGACATCGTGCGGTGGCCTTGACGACTCCGGCACTTTCTGAATCTGAGCGGATACAATTCTGCATCCAGTTTGCATAGACCTCACACAGACTGACCGGCTAAATACCGCCTTTTCTGGACGAACGAGTACTGCCACAGCGTCGATGGCTTCAACTGCCACCAGAACTTCCTGTAACCTCCAGTTCATCCCAGCCTGGTCAAGCGCTACCACCGCATTTCATAGATCCGTCATCTAACTGGTTTCAGCATTCCTGCACCACATGCACCATTTGTTTTGGCTCAACCCCCACAGCCGGTGAGTCATGGACTTCACAATCCATTTATGTATCAATACCCACTGGTACATCCACAATTCACATACATTCCCTCAGCAATTTTTACAGCGTTAATGATTTGCGATTAGTTCTATATAATTTTAAGTACATATTGCTGTAGCTCACAGATTACTGTAAATTCGGCCAGTGTGACCGTTCGTGACATGAGTGTAACCCACGAAATGGCCCACCGTAAACAATTGTAGGACTCCGCCGACTCCATCTGCAGAGTAGACTGCTCGTCCTCTGCGCCAAACGCTGATTAGTTACGACACCATGTCTACGCCAGAAGTATATTCAATCGCCAAAACTCCAGTGACGTGCCACGCATTCAACGCGGACCGCAGTCGTACGTCCTACCTTGATGTATCCTTTGAATACTAAGTAGTGAACGTTTACTTCGTCACAGAGGTTGCTGTAAGCTTGAATGACAACAACGTCCAGATCTATGCCAAGCAGGGAAAGGAGTGGATTCTATCTGAGACACTCTCCGAGGTGTGTTATGATCGATGCATACTACTGATCCATCAACATGTACTGACTCACGAATTCTCCAGCACGATAAACTGATCACGTCGATCGATTGGGCCCCAAACTCCAACCGCATCGTCACCGCCTCACAAGATCGCAATGCATACGTCTGGTCCCTCTCTCCCGATCCACTTACTGGGAATTTGGTGTGGAAGCCTACTTTGGTGCTTCTTCGTATCAACAGAGCCGCTACCTTTGTCCGTTGGAGCCCCAATGAAGACAAATTTGCAGTTGCCAGTGGTGCAAGGTATGTATCCTCTTCTTTGCGAGATGATGTCATTTCATCAAGTATATACAGGGCGATTGCCATTTGTTCGTTTGATCCTGAGAACAATTGGTGGGTGGCAAGGCAGCTCAAGAAACCAATCAGATCGACCGTCTTGTCTGTCGACTGGCATCCGAACAATGTCTTACTGGCTGCAGGGAGCGCTGATATGAAGGCACGCGTGTTCTCCGCTTACATCAAAGACGTAGACAAGAGGTAACGACAAGCTCTGGATTGCGGTCATGTCGTTTACCTTTAATTTGTAGGCCCTCGCCTACCATCTGGGGCGAGAAGCTTCCCTTCAACACTATCTGTGGAGAATATAGCAGCCCCGCAGGCGGATGGGTTCACGCAGTCGGATTTTCTCCTTCTGGGGATGTTTTAGCTTTTGCCAGTGAGTTGCAGCATATTTGCGTTTTCGCAGGAAGACCCACAATTTTCACAGGTCATGATAGCTCTATCAGCATCGTTTACCCTGGTGGTCCCATGGTTTACAATATTCGCATTAGTTCTCTGCCATACGTGACCTTAACATGGACTTCCGAGGACGCCTTGGTTGCAGCTGGCCACGATTGTCAACCTGTCGTTTTCTCCGGCTCGGAGCAAGGTTGGGGCCTTATTGGCACTTTAGATGATATCACCGCTTCCAGTGCATCGAAGACTCATGGTGCAAGGACTGGGACTGTCGGGAGGTTGAACAGTGCAGCGTTCAACACGTTCAGGAATGCGGATACGCGTGGACATACTGGAGGAGGAGACACCGCTTCTGACACGGAATTGCTTACTGTGCACCAGAACACGATCACCAGCGTCAGGCCGTACGCGTATGGGGGTGAGGGGATCGTTAGCAGGGTGAGCACTACTGGAGTGGATGGAAAGCTTGTCATTTGGGACGTTAATGCTGTGTCGGCCCTTACTGGAAAGATGGGCGGCTTGAGGGTCTGAAGCTATGATAAACTGTTGTACAATTAATCGTACATTGAATAATGTGGTATGTAAGTGTGCACGAAACTCTTTTGGATCAGTATCATCTTTGGGTAGTGTCATCCATCGCGTACGCGTATCCACCCTCGATCTCTTGAACAGGCTGCTCGTTGATGACGCCCCAGACTGATGCTTTGAACTGTACCATCTAGATCAGCCTGAAATTGCAGAAGTGAAGGGGTATCAGAATACCAAGGTCAAGACCAAGCCCATTTTTCTCTCCAACACTCTTAAACGCGCGATAAGATTCTCATCTGGTCCCTCGGATAGTTGTCTCGTGGTGACGGTCAACTGCCACTAAGATCAGGATCATACTCATCTGATTAACACTCGAAGCTGCGAACCCACATCTTTGACGTGTTGCGATAGTTTAGCGTACTCCCACAAAACATTGGCCTCCAGCGCGGTCAGACTGGGGTGCGATTCGTACGGGTTGGCATCGAATACGTCGGCGGTTCCAGACATGATTGTGAAACCCACAAAAGATTAGTCTGAACTTTGTAATACCAGACGTTGCGAGACCCGCATACGACCAAGCTCAAGGTTTTGTCTCAAGTACGTGCGGTGGGGCGGCAAAGTTCCTTTTTGGACTTTTCTGCCGGCGGAAAGCAAGGACATTGGCACCGAATTGATACCGCGCGATACCATAAACGGTATGTTTTTTACTTGGTGATACAATTATCCTTGACGTATGTTCGTTACCGTGCAATGAGACCACTGATCTGGACTGACTCATCCTCCGGCGGTGGAATTCATGCCTATTGACACCGAGGAGACGCGACTTGCCGCCCATACCACGCGCTTGCGGCACAAGAGGCAACCCCTAGATGGTACTATCAAAGTTAACGTACGATCCGACTGCGCGACACGAGACTCACCAGTTCAACGAGAGGATCGACACGGACGGTACTACTATTAAAGTCAAGTGAAAGTACATGTCTGGTGACCCTAGTCTAACAGAGACTAACTGGGAGGAATCGCGTATAAATCTGGCGCAGTTGTGTGGCTCGCCCTTGTTCTACATAAAAAAAGTAACAAGATCAAGACTCGAGCCTGAGCCTCGAGCTCAGCAGCCGAGTAGCCAGCCGGCTCATTAGATCTTGCGGTACCCTTGCTCACTGAGCGCGCGACGGCCAATTCGTTTACCCGCCAAAAGTTCAGTTGAGTATGGGTTGACTGAGTAAAACTTTTGCTCTTGTTCAAATCCGGGTGCACGCGATCATGGCATAGTACGATCGCGTTTGCTCGCGAAAAACATTTTTATCCGATACTTCCGAATGTTTAAGTGTTTCTCACGATCGAAAACTGGCTCAAAGTTGCCTTATTTGGATATCCCTCCTTGGACGCAACAATATCAGCATGCTCTCCTAGTAAACAATAGTCCTGGGATAGCCCGATCCCTTATAATAAAATAGGGCATCGTATCTTGTAATTCACTCCGTTCTTTTCTAACATCATCACACATGCATTCACCCCCTGTAACTTCATCACGTCTATCTGCACCAAGACCCTTCCCTCCTCCATCTCTCACTGATGTCCCTCATGAATATATCGTCGACCAGCTCAGGACTCTCGCGTCTCACTACTGGGATAGACCACAGACTGCAGATTGTACAATCAGTAAGTCTTGATGTCTTGATTACGGAACGTTCTAATCTGTTCGGCAGTCGTACCTGTCCCACATCATCGACCATGTCCAGCATATGATTCCCCGCTCACTTCGTCAGACTCTTCCCCAGAGCCTTCACCGAGGGTTCAGGTAGACACTGGAAGTGAACCTACTATTCACGCCGTGCCTCGAATGAAACTAAGAGTGAGTCGTGCTATTCGTCCAAGACGCATAATCCTCATTGTTTGTAGTTGCATATGGATTACCTCTCTTCGCATTCGACGTTGCTACGAGGTCTCTTCAGCGGTGCATCACCCAATGATCTCATTCACGCTGGCCCTACGCAACCCCGACATCCTCCGCTGCATGTCCCGGAAAGCCGTCTTCCTTCTCTTCTTCCTTCTCCGCCGTCCCATCCTGTTCTATTTCTCCCCGTTCCTGATCCATCCTCGATACATCTTATTTTTCACTGGATGTACTTTGGGCAGACAGCACTTATGGAAGACTGTCTAAATCGGGGTGTCGTCCACTGGGAGGGGATCGCGCGTAACGTGGAGTACTTGGGGCTTCCCACAGACATCAAAGTGTTCCTGGGGCGGTGGTACAGGAATTGGCTTCTTCCGGCACATAGCCGAGGCGGCTGTCCAACTTATTCGCCCACTGATGATGACGATTCTGACATTGAGCTGGAACTCGATGATGACGACGACGACGATGACGAGGACGAGACAGATGACGAGGAGTATTCAATGGTGAACTCATACACGGAGGATGTAGATGCTATGGCAGAGTTTGAACGAGGGCGCACACGAACCATTCGCCCCTTGACGCGGCTATGCGGGAAGTTACAGATGTGTGGAGTATGACAGGCATTTGACAAGAATATTTACGAATAAGTTCATTGTATTTCATAATGGGTTTGTCATTCATGGCGATGTTTGTTTGGTCTATCTTTATTCATTCTTGTGATACCCCCATTTTCCGGACTAAGTTTGAGGATTTAATTGTGGCGCCCCGCACAGCGCGTGTTTAATTACTTGATTATGACATATATGATACATTGTCGTAATCTAGACAATTGTCCTCATGACCTACACTCCTGTGTCAGATACAAGACAAAACTTCCAGCCTTCTATGCAATTGTTCCCAAAACCTTCGTGAGCGTCAATCTCACGCGGCCAACTAAAACGTGTAACACAAGATAGGATAAACAGAAGCGAATATCCTTCACAAGGATGGATGTCCATGATCTGGCGGCTGATGATGCCCGTGGACGTCGACGAGCGACAGTCCCGATAAGAACGTGGCCAACTCCGTATCGGGAAAGAGAGAAGAGCGGTTTGACAGCGGAACCAAACAAAGGCGAGCCTTTCCAGATGGGTTTCACTGCGGCTACCGAGGTACTACTAGTACTGCGCATTCTCAGATCTGTGTTTTTAACTCGAGCTAGCGGCAATCAGAGAAGCGAACAAGTCATGACGAAAGAAATGCACAAGGCATTTGAGACATTCCGATGCTGGCACTAGTACTATAGACGTCTCGGTCCGGCTCCCACTCGTAGTCCAATCCTTTCTTCTAAGAACTCCGTCTAAATTAAAGGGGACAGTCACGGTGCGTTCCGAATTTCCATTAGAGAAGACATACCAAGTCGCGGCCGGCCTGCGCTTTACCTCAATCGATGTCTTCGAGCTATGAATGTTCGAGAGTGGAAGTATCAACACCCGCACGGTACTCGGCTGAAGGCCCCTGTCAAAGAACGGCTGAAAGAAATGGTAGTGGCTGATCCCTTGGTGATCATCTCACGCGATGCGATGTCTCCCGTTCACCCTGTCATATAGACAAGACCTCAGGCCTTAGGGGTTATATGACGCGGGGTTCCAATAATCAGCCATCACTGTCAGCTGGACGTCCAGTCCAAAATTGACAGTTCCCCGTCAAGCTTGATGGGAATGTTAGCTAGCCCAAGGTTGAACGGAAATGTGGTGCGCGGAAATGAAAACGGTTAGCCTTGGCATCCACGTCCTGGAAACAACATACTGGAAATCACATGTAAACTCGAGCATAAAGCCAAGGGCCAATCAGTCTAGAAGGCACCATTAAGGACCATCCATTTTCTTGGCATCGTAAGGTCCTTTCTGACTGGAAGACTTATGTTAGACATGTGATCAGGCTCAGTGAAATGTATACACCATGTGATTAGTCTACCGTAGTCAGACCCTAAGAGAATGAAGACAGCGTTCAATCGGTTGAGAAGGACCGTTGAGAGTAAACGATGACCCTGTGGCGCTCCGAGTCGGAATCAACATGCGAACATATTCAAGACCCTCTAGGGTTAGTACTGGCCCTGAGCGAGGGTCCAATGTATCAGATGGTAGAACGTCACCAGTCTAGCTATATAGCCCCGTAATGCGTCATTTCCATACACACTATGGATACAACGTTAGTAATTTTATCTAAAACCCTGAAAAGCACGTACTGCCAGTGGTAGACGTGACAACGCATGAGTAAATGCTTCGAGGACTTGCTTACGAACATGCATGCCTCTGGGAGTCCCAGCAGGATATTTGGTAGCCCGTGAGATTTGTCCGTTGAAGTGCCGTACGCGATAACTTATAAACTTGGATTATACGATTCTGAATTTTTCTAGCCACATGATAGCGGAGGGAGAAGTAGTTGGCCGTCAATCCAGAGCCAGCCATAAATACTGAATCGTCAGGCCGATGTAAATCCGCATATCTACCACATGTAAGGACGAAATGGTTGCTTCCGTGGAAGCAATTCACGTGACGCGGCTTCACCTGAGCTTCCAGTACTTACACATACATGCCTCTGCGTGACATGAGGTGCTTGAACACGTGAACAAGAAGATGAAGCCAGGAAGAATTGAGCGTTCGAGAAGGAGAGAAACGTACACGTTTGCTCTTGGCATGAGGGGTGAAGGACGCTCATGCAGGTTGATATCTACACCGCTTGGTCACGATTTCGAAGCCAGTGGAAATTTGGGTGGGGTCGGGATCACGTATCGTGGATACGATTGGGTAGGACGCCGTGTAGCATCAGCCTAGAATGCATAAGCTTACATGAGAAATCGTTTATAAAAGTGTCGCGTACAGCGAATAGTGACATGTCGGGCTGGTCCAAAAGAAGGTCGTCGAGGCAAGCTTGTTTTAACATCGCGATAACATCCAACGTGTATGCCGGTGCATTGTCATTGCGAGCAACGGCTAATAATTTCCTATCTGGTGAAAAGGACACCAGGACACTACGAGTGAGGGGCAGATCAATGGGCTGGTTGTTGTCGAAGTTGCATGATATTCGTGCTATGGTGTCGTGTTTGCGAGGATGCAGACATAGATAACGCCAGTATGTTCTAGCACTAGTTTGATCTGCTTCCAAGACTTTGTAGTATCCCATGTCCTAATTGAGTGATCGGCTGACCCGGAGAGTTGAGGTTTTATAGTCTCAGCTTTCATTCAACAAGGTCCAAAATCATTACTTACCACGTCATATTTCTCACCAGGCCTTGACGTCTGGACACCAAGACGCGATCAGCGTCGTCGAAGGTTAATTCAGAGTTGAGTACTCAGTACACTGCCATTGTACATTCGCAAGTCACATGATATTCTCGCAATTAATTCACAGAGGCTGTGCAACTAAGAAGCGCTTAACGTTGCAACCCTCGTTTTGTGACCATAATATCTGCAAGCCAATGCACGCCAGTCTATTGACATCCTGATGGACCTCCGTCCTATGCATCCGATCTAGGCATCGAAAAACTGGACCACAGAATAGACATATCTGTATATGTTGGTGGCCTCAATAAACCGCGGAACCTGCTTGGAAGTTGCACACGAGCATCCTACATAAGTAGAAATCAAAATATAAAACAGAACGATAGTATCTATTGTTCCATGAGCTAGCAGATCAGAGCATGAGGTATATGCGGGGATGTATACAACCCGAATAACAATGAATTTGGAGATCCTTTCAACAATCGAAATACACTATCACAGCTAGCCATCATCGAAGAAACACTACCTTTTCCTTCGGCCGTGAAGCATTCCAGGGGACTTCATGGATGATGCCCAACCCAACACGTTGCATCAAGCCCTCACTCTGACTGACCGCCATGACATATAAGACACATTCGTGGTAATACCCAAGACTCTGTTCGTCGTACACGCGGCGCGTACCGGTACGAGAAAGAACGATGAACTCGAGGGACGGCGGAGGCATAGGGTCCAGTGGTAGGACCGCAGTGCCAACCCAAATGGGAGGGGATGTGGTGGAGAGAATATTGAAGAGACCGTGGTGGAGAGATGCACCTGAATCATCGTTTTCTTCGCTACCTCGCCATGCAATGCTAAAGTGGCTGGAAGTTGTGCGGAAAATGAGGGTGCCTGGTGCTAGCGGTCGATGGATGTCTAACGTCAGCGCCGTTGAGTCTAAAATCCCTGATGGAGGAGAATATGCCGACTTCTCCTCCTCTTTCATGGGATTCGATACGATCCGGGAAACCCGGCGAACATCAAGCTCCACTGTATTACCACTATGGTCCACGATATACCAAGGATTAATAAACGTTTCTACCACCGACGGTTCGCCACTACCGTTGACGATACCATGATACCGATGCTCCGACGTGTAGTCAACAGCGCCACACCACGTAGCCCATGTCCAAGAAGGTAAAGGTAAACCAACTCCATCAGGGAGCGAACGACGAGCGCGAGGTGTGTGTGGGTCATGTTGCCAGAGAAGCGCCTGATGCAGATCCGTCAACATCATTCCGCAGTGAAAGACTCTAGCGGGGTCACCGAGGCTAAAGCCTATTGCCAAAGCATTTGTCACTCCAGTGATAGCATCGACAATATCTGATTCCACGGTGAGATTGCGTCGTGTACACTCCTTGACGGCCCACATGTAACTGCCAAAGGGGTCCGCCTGTGGGAAGTATTCTCCACGCGATTGCCGAAGAAAGTTGTTGGAGAATTGGTGGCCTTTGCTTTCGGCGACAATGTCTTCGCAGAAGACATCACCCCGACACTCAAAGTAGACTTGCTGCTCAGTGAAGTATATCCGTCGGCGCGAGAGTGCGCTCTCTTGATAAGTCCAACAACGCGTATTCCATACGGACAGAGCAAGAGCCTCCTGAAGTCTTGGAGGTCCGACACAGAGATGAAGTCCTTGAACAACCTCGATATGCTGTTTTGGTATTCTAGTTCGTGGACGGCACCCTGGGAGAGGGTCTCGAGCCGACGCGCCGCCAGCGGCCATTACCGTGAGGTAAGAAAGGCCGTAAACCAAATCCATAGATTTTATCTGAGCGATTTTGTCCTGCAAACAATCTTGAATGATGCATAGAGCGTCAATCCATAAGTAACGGAGACCGAGTTGTCGAGTGAATAGAATGGAATCAGTTATGGTCTCTGGAAAGATTGCCGTGTTCAACCCGCCAGGTGCGGAGCGCTCCGCTATATTATTCGTCGTCGTCCGATACTCTGTGCTGACGGTTCCCCACACGTAACTGAGGGCAACATAACGACAGCCAGAAGGTGCGGGAACCAGGGTCATCGAGACCACGTCCACCAATCTCACATATTTCGGCAAATTCTTATCCTCTCCATCATCCATTCTCCACGCATTATGACATTCATCCCCGTGGTTCTCCTGGCACAGCTTAATCCACTTCTTTACCAGGTCGATGTCTACAGTGTTCTTCACCCTGCGACTATGAAGATCGGTTGGTCTCCCGAACTTAAAAGCGTCTTCTTGCATGAGGTAGATGCTAAGCGAACCTGCTGTCGCCCTTGAAGTAGGGTATCTCTCCCAAAATTCCCTTAGGCCCTCCATATTGATGTGGAGACAGTAGCAACGAAATTTGGGTCGAGGATAAAAGGGCCCCCGGAGAAAACCACATGACATCGAGAACAGCCGACATTGAATCCCTGAGAGATCAACATCAGGGAACTTGTCCAACATCCATGTTCGACGGACGTGAAAGGATATGAGGCGGCAGAAACTGCATTGGTACGATTTTTGTAAGATGGATGAGAGGGAATCGAGTGGGATTTCCTCTGTCTCTGGGATGCCTTCAAGGAAGATCTGGTAAAAATTCAAATTTTCACAGACGGAACAGAGTAATGCGTTGCTGCCAATATGATCACTCTGTTCAGTCAATCAGCCAAGTTCACTGCGGTGGGGACCCAAATGTTCCTCACCAGAAGTTCAGTTCGTATTTGGTCTGGGTTGAGAGGAGGGGCGGATTCGGAAGTCCCATCCGATGGGACATTTGCTTTCAGTTTGCATCTCAGGGCGACCAATAGCCAGATAACCAAAACTCCCAGAGCAATCCCTCCAATAATTTCAACCAGGGCCGAGACATGTGTGGAGACCGGGCTGAGAGTATCAAGAACATCAAAGGGTGGTACTGTAAGCCCTTCATGATTACCTGAGAAGTGCCTGAACGATAAACGTGAAAAGAAAAGCAGGATACCTACCTGACTGGGTTGCACTATAGAAGGTCATGCGAGTTGCGATGAATTCAGTTTGATTCCTCGGGGTTGCAACAGGGCGAGGAGACGCAGTTGTATAATACATAAGGCTGTAGAAACCATGGACCCTAACACTTGCAAACGTGTGGCAGCCAATTTGGACCAACGCCGCGTTGCAACGCCAAGGCCAGCCTCACCCGGGTGTGTTTAAGGACATTACTTACTTCCTTCACGTGACACGTGATGATAGTATTAGACACGCGAAAGTATAATTATGTTCGACTCCACGGCTATGTTCCGCTTCGGACGACCAGCGCTGATATACTCATAAAACCCCTTCACTTCCCCAACTTGTTCGTCTTAGAATCTGAAGCTCTATTTAGTATGTTGGCCTTAAAATCCGGTAGGCTTATTACAGCACGCAACCTACACCGCAACCTCCGACCCGTAATCACTAGTCAAAGGTCGCGCCAAATCTCAACGTACAACGTTGATATAGCAGGGCTCACAGAAGAGCAAGCCGAGGTATGCCAATGAAATCATGGCCTTCAGCTACAGCTCAGCAGTATATGTAACTTAGTTCCGCAATGCAGTAGCCGAGTTTGCCGAACGGGAGCTTGCCCCGCGTGCTGCACAAATCGACAAGAGCAACAACTTCCCTTCAGTGAGTATTAATAAAAGGATGTCAATCTTCTCGTACCAAAGCGTATTGTCAGGACGTTTGGGAGAAGCTTGGTGACATGGGTCTACTCGGTATCACCGTTTCGTCAAAGTATGGTGGTTTGGACCTTGGATACTTCTACCACACTTTGGCAATGGAAGAGCTTTCCCGTGCTTCTGGCTCTGTTGCACTGTCGTACGGCGCGCATTCGAACCTCTGTGTGAACCAAATCCATCGTCATGGCACAGATGCTCAAAAGCAGAAATACCTCCCTGACTTGATTGCTGGGAAGAAAGTGGGTAGTTTGGCTATGAGCGAGCCTGGGAGCGGGCAAGTTGATTGTCTTACGATGCATGAAAAGGATGACTTACAGTGAACTAGGAGTGATGTAGTCAGCATGAGTTTGAGGGCAGATAAAATAGACGGTGGTTGGAAGCTGAATGGGAACAAGTTCTGGTGATAATTCAATCGTATCGTCCATGAATTGTTCTAACAGTCCCGCAGGATTACCAATGGACCGACAGCATCAACACTAGTCGTTTACGCCAAGACCGCTCCTGAGAGAGGTTCCAAGGGCATCACCGCATTCATTATCGAGAACACGTTCGAAGGCTTTTCCACGCATCAGAAGCTCGATAAATTCGGCATGAGAGGTAGTGATACTTGCGAACTTGTCTTCGATAACTGCAAAGTCCCAGAAGGTTTGTTTTTATGTACTCAATTGTGGAAAACTCATCAACTTTTGCCACTCATAAGAGAACGTCCTTGGCCAGGTCAACAAAGGTGCGGGGGTCTTAATGTCTGGGCTTGACCTTGAACGTCTTGTCCTGAGTGGCGGTCCCTTGGGGTAGGGTTATTTTATCAAACGCTTGGGACCGTTTACTCAACATTACTTCCTGAAGTTTGGCGCAAGCTGCATTCGATTATGCAGTAGAATATGTCCACGATCGCAAGCAATTTGGACAACCTGTTGGAACATTCCAATTAATGCAGGGTAGGTTGACCAGGCTCCATGATCAACACAACGACTGATGAAGATCTTCCAGGCAAGATTGCTGATATGTATACAAGTATTAATGCAAGCCGCGCGTATGTCTATGCTGTTGCAAGGGCTTGTGACCGTGGTCAGATCAGTCGTCGAGTAAGTAAGACCGGGAATCCAAACGCTGGTGGTTCCTTATTTTATACCGCTAGGACTGCGCTGGTGCCATCCTCTACTCTACCGAGAAAGCCATAGAGGTCGCTTTGGAAGGCATGCAATGCCTCGGCGGTAACGGATACATCAATGGTTTGAATTATCTGTGATTTCGTGATGGCTGCTACTCACATTTAAACTAGATTATCCTATGGGTCGCATTTTACGCGATTCTAGGTTGTATGCGGTGGGCGCCGGGACGCAAGAGATAAGGAGGATGTTGATAGGACGGGAATTCAATGAACAGTTCAAATCCTCATGATACCTCAGTGGTACTCCAGGCTGCTTTCGGACAGTAGTAGACAGTAGTTCAATCGTCCCTAGTCCGGACAATACCGTGTTTAAGCAATCATGACAGGCGTGCATAAGATTTTTAGATCAGCGATATCTCTGAATCTGATAGCATTGTATTACATTGAATTTGTATATATTTTAGTTTGTAATGTGCAAGGCAGGGCCTCACGGAGGCAGAACTTGATCAAAGTCGCCGCAGTGGGTTATGTCGAATTCATGTGTTCCAATAAGAAAAAAAATTAGCTTGTGGTAATTGTTTCGGGGATGTCTCCGGCAAACGCATATATATTTCGTACAATCAGGTCTAGCATAAACTAGGTTGAACATCCCCCTGGCAAATTTCTTTGCGGTCAAGATTAGATTTCCTTCAAGTCATATGTTCAGACGGTTGCGTGTCATCAAGACTATAGTATTGTTACATAGGGTATACTTCCAATTGGTATAGGTACTTGTGTCTATTCCAAAATAAATGATGCACGATGTCATGTGAAGATATGTGAAGTCTACGATAATGAAACCGAACACAAGGCAGTCCAAGAGCGATCGCTCGACATCGAATAAATAATCAGAAAAAGGGATATTGAGAACAGACCCGTCGAATGGGGCAAAAGAGAGGCGCGATTGCATTTACGTCAAGGGACAGTAGCATCCATCGCTTTCTCAGTCAGGAGAGGAAGACGGTGGTGCGGAGAACAGGTGCATGGAAGGGTCGAATGCATCCTTGGACGATGTGGGAGAGGATGGTTCTGAGAATAAACCTGAATCATCATCCTCATCATCGTCATCGTTTACATCCTCAGACGGGGGAAGAGACGATGGCGGCAAAGGAGGTTGGAGGGGAGCAGCAGTCGGCTTGAAAATCGACATTGAGAAATCACTCGCGACGATTGGTATAGCATGGCCAGATGGCGGCTGCGCGGGTTGTGGTTCAGGTGCAGACGGGAGGGGAGTAGAGGAAGTCTGGTTCGGGGTACCCTGGAAGGCCTGCAACGGGTGTGCGACAGCCGGCTGCTGCACAGTGGTCGGTTTGAATGAGGTTTGAATGTTCTCGGGGAGAGATGGATATTTCTGCGAGAATGCAGACCAGGTTGGGACATGCTGGATCATTGACCTTGCGTCAGTCCGTGTGGCCTGCGGACTGAATTGTTGACTCACCGAGCTCGATGCAGGTCCTCGTGCTTTCAAGGTGAATTGCTGATGAGACATCGCGAAGGGGGCCGTAGCGCCAAACGTGCGATTCGCAGCGGCTTGAATAGCATGCGGTGGGGCAACATGCGAGGGCAGGGATTGTTGGTTCGCGGAGCCCGATGCAGGTCCTTGGACTTTGAAGGCGAATTGTTGCTGAGACATCGCGACGGAGGACGCAGCGCCAGATGTGCTATTCCCAACGACCTGAACAACATGCGGTGGGGCCACAGACGGGGGCAAGGATTGTTGGTTCGCCGAGCTCGATGCAGGGCCTGAGGAAGATGCGAACGTGATGGGACCAAGCACTTGGGAGTTTGCTTGAGCCAGAGCCTTCTCCCTATTTCTGATGCACTGTTGAGAGGGTTTATGCCTTTTCAATGCATCCCGGCGGTTGAAACTATAAGAATCAACAGCTCAGCCCATGATCACATTTGAAATAAGAGGAGTACTACTCACCCGGCACCACACGCTTCGCATATATACTTATTTGATCCGCCATGTGAGACCGTTTCCGTTATATGTTTATGAACGCTGGCCTCCAGCATCGGACGACAGCTTTTGCATGCGTTCTTAAGACATCTCCACCTCTCTTTCCCATCTGTACCCGGCGGTACGCGTTCCTAATGAAACAGCCGTCAGTCGGATGGCGAAGACCAATAAATAAAATTGACTCACAAAATCTGGATTGCCCTGAGGACGATGCCGTTTTTCTTTCGTGTCTTCGGTCATGTCATCCTCATCAGCCGCCTTCCTCTTCAAACTCCCCGTAGAACTTCCCTCCACTGGGCCTACAGATGGTACTTGCGGCATCGGTGCAGCATCCGACATCACTTGCACCTGCTGGTGAAACGGGACATGCGCTGCAGGAGGAGCAGGGGGGGATTGCATTGGGGCACCAGGATAAGGTGCTGCACCAGGCGCTGCACCATGAGCTTGAGGTCCGGGGTGGCCACCATAATAATTTGGTGCGGGTGCGTGGTAGCCGTACCCTGGCCACTGATACATGGGACCTTGAGGGTTGTAGGGGATGGGAGGCGGAGGAGCATATCCGGCGTTCCACATCGGAGGCAGACTTGGAAGTCCTTTCCCGGCGAGCCCCGCAGTCTCTTTGGCGATTTCGTTCAGTGCATAAAGAGACGGCCCAGGGACATTCTGGTTTTGCAGGGCAGGCGCATTCGAAGGGTGCGTCGGTGGATAGGAGGGCTGGGGCTGGGGCTGAGGTGGATTGAATACGAGTTGAGGCTGCTGCAATGGGAAAGGCGGTTGGCCTCTTTGAAGCTGGATCTGCGGCCGTTGAGTCGACGCGTTGAAAGTGCCATTCAGGCCGGAAGGTGCATGTCCCGTGGAAGATGAAGAGTTGTTGCCGTTCATGTTGACGGAGGGAGAGTGTTTCGGTGGCAGTAGGTCCTAGCGCGTAATAGCAGAGAAGCAAATTGGATGAGAGTGAGTATACAAGTTAGATAGCGAAGTGCAGTATCCGGAAGAGAGTAGTGAGGAAGAGAGAAGAGACACAAGTACTCAGTTTTTAAACCGTTGAATTTCCGCTTTAAACATTTAAAGCAACTGAGGCATACCTTCCCCTTTCATTTTGTGGGTCACAGCGTGTAGCCCCAGCAAAGCGAGGTATACAAAGGGAGTCCTTCCACAGACCGTATATTTTTTCCAACGGACAATAGCACAACGCGCAGTGTACTCGGATATTTCGCTGCACGACTGGAAAACTCAATTGATTGGATTGTCGTCCTCCGAAGTTCCAAATAGCTTAGGAGATATATGCAGCAATTCATTTTTCTTCTCATGAGCATTGAACGCGACGCGCTGCACCAGAATTTCAGATTCGATTTCGTCTTTAGCTGCGCCTGTTCATGGAATTTCTTCGTGCACAAGGACTCGTCGTTTTCCTCAGATGCTGCCGACAGCTATTGACATGGGACATTGCATGCTCGATAATTTGATTGAAAATCTATCAACACGAACAGATCAGACAGGAGTCGCATGGTTAACGATACAAATAAGAGATATCACGTCCAACGATGTGGCACGTGAACGAGCACGTGTGTCTCTGATTGCCGGTCCACAACAGTCTGCGCGGAGATCGAATCTACATCCAACACCTTACTTCACTGTTACCGAACTTGTACATTTAAGAAGTGGATGTGACTCACTGCCACTAGATCATATCACATCGTCACATCGAGATTGGTTTACGACACTTGCAATTCACAGAAGGGTTTCGCCTGTGTGACGAATAGATAATGAGCGTCATTGATGATCCACATTGTAGGTAGTCCCTGTGGATGCTCGAAAGTGCACGTGCGGTCGTGCATCCCCATTCAAGAATATTGGACAACCGCGCAAACAACAAACGTGGCAACAGATGGACGACTTACCCAAAGCAGAACGGACCAATGAGCACTCCACCGTCACGGTCTGGCGTACACTCTCAGCATCTGCAAGCGTGGGGTTGACCTCCTGCGTGCGATAAATCAAATCAGATCAAGTCGATGGGAGCAAAGATGTAGGTCAGGACACGTACCATCAAGTCGAACGCGACGAGCAACCCAGTCTGGTGAATCGCCTCGCAGATGTAGTGTCCTTCACGGAAGGTGAGCCCACCGCGCACCTGCAGGATTTCGGTTAGTTCTGCTCATTAAGACATTTAATTTGACTTGAAATTAATTTGTTTAGGAATACAATATCTACCCGCTGTGGGCTTGGACACTCCTGGCACGGATCAAAACACCCGGGGCATGCGCACCACAAAGCGTCTGCACAAGCCAATTTCATAGGTGGCGTATTTTCAAAGCGCCCCTTCAGGGCCAGGATGCATAGAGAATAATGGGCATTTTAATGCACGTTCTCGCATCTTCAACAAGCAAAAGGTTGTTCAGCACGCACTAAGTCGCTCAGATCGCATGGCTGACTCCGTCCCACTCAAAAGTAAGTGCAAGGATACTGAAATACTCACCGGTGTCCCGGTGATAGGCGCAACGCTCGGGTCGAGTACGTCGACATCACTCAAGTGAATAGGACAGTTCACGTGGTCGAGCGCCATTTCGACCACACTGCCAATGTCATACCTAAGTGAAGCACAGTCGACGTGAGCGCCCTTCTCTCCACCAATTCCCAAACTTGCCGATCGACTTTGTGCATGCTAAACGCCTTGATGCTGTGTTTCTGCGTGAGCATCTACCCAGGTGTCACAAGCCTGGTCATATGCTCTGTGGGTAGAATGTCACAACAATGGCAGCAACTCCTGTGAACTGAGATCCTCACCTCGTTCCAGAGATAGTGCTCATGGCTAAGGAATGATCTCTGCCGAGGGTGACGGGGAGGTGCCCCAACTCTGTATGAGCCTGCACGGCAGATGCAACACTCTCGCACACATTTGCAACAAGTAGAGAGCTTCTCAACCTCGCGATGGATCTAACATGTCATAGCAGCATCACTGGTTGGGTGGGAGAGAAATATCCTCAAATTAGTGGTGCCCATCAAAAGCGACGTGCCATCCGAGTTCTTCGACCTGGTTAATGAGTCCTGCCTGGACGAGGTGGATGGACCTTTGTCTACGCCAAGTTTTGGCTGAGAGAAAAAGGGAGTGAGCAGGTGATTTAGAAGAGATATATTGAGAGAACTGACCTCACCCCACTGTAGCTGGTGCCGTAAGACAACCGTCACGCAGCATTAGAATGCTCACCTAAACGGTCAGTACAGGGCGTAGAGAAGACATTCCGATGGCATACGCGTACAGTGATGGTCTTTGGGCTCAGTAAAAATATTAGAAGGCGCTGGAGACATGCTCAGGCTAAAGGGTGACGGTGAGTGAAAAGTCAAAGCGTCAATCGTTAAAGCGGGTAAGGTGAGGGAATCTTTTTCTAGGCTAATGATATCTGGGTGAAACAAGGAAGAAAAATGTATGAAGGGATTGTGTAAGGCTAGCCCCGAGAGTCGACGCTGCATGGCGGTATTTTCTGGGTCGGTCATGACAGCCAAACATAATTGATGATGGTTCAATGTTCGATGATGAAGGAGAAGCATTGAAATTGCTGTATGAACGCTACGCTCTGTCGTGCTTCCCAGGTTTCACATGCTCTTGTTATGATGGGCCAACGATGGATTGTGGGTCGTTCAGGGTCGGAGTTTTAATATTATGCCGCATCTGCAAAAGCGCTGAAATGAACGCTTACTTCTCTCGCGAGAAAAACCGTCCGCTGGCGGGCGTGACGCTTCGGCAAACGCCGTGGATCGATTTTTTGAAACGTTCCATCGGGGGCTCTGGATCGCTTACGTTGGTCACGTCTTTCCCTTTTTTGGTGTCCAGATTCCCTTGCGATTTCCCTCCCTTCGCTAACTCTCGTTTCTCGTTGTCTTAGCCCGCCCCCGTTGTCCAGGCCATCCGAGCCGTTGCTTCTGCTTCTGCCTCTGCCGTTGGTAGCGATGGCCTCCAGGGAGCATCACAAGGGGCCACAAGGATCACTATAGCAATCCTTGTGACTGTCCTTGTCCTTGTCGGGCTCGGCATAACATACCACTGGTGGCGGCCTGCCACTCCAATCCACAGTTTCTACAGCTGGATGCCGTGCTTCATCACCATCTGACCAGAAGAGTGCAGGCACAGTGAAGAGCGCAGACATAGGGACACTCCCGATATCCCTCCAGCACGCACAGTGTGCAATCGCAGCTGGGAACGTTACAGCGAGTGTACTGTCAGCTGTTGGCCAATGGACACGGTGAGTTTCTAGTAGTAGTTTTGATTGGTGTTTGCTTACCTTGAATGAACCCCAGATGTCAGACATGGCCAGCATCAGCATCGCCGGCCCAAGCAAGCCTGCTGCTGGCAGCTCAGTGCCACCACCTGCTGCTACTAATGGGGCCAAGAGCCATGCCTCTGTCCCTCCAAAAGACAGCGACAGCGACTCCTTCCGGTGCCCTGAAGCTAGCGACATCAAGCACCGCAGTGAGTGCAATGCCAGCTTCCTGGAGATGATGAGTCCTTCCATTTTCCCGTAATTCATCTCCATTGTGTATTGGCGCTCGACTCCACATGCGGGTCTCGTTGGCTCTGTTCATGACGCCAGTGAATCTGTTTCATTATATTCCCTTTAGCACTCCCTTCGGCACTTGCTTACCTGGAATCCTGCAGATGGATGCTGTCATTGGCCCCAAGTGAGCACACTCACGCAGCTTAGTGCTGGCCATACAGAGAGTAGGAAGACAACTTTAGGCTATCATAGATACGGATACAAGTACTATACAAAAAATGACAAACGGTTTGTAAAATATCCTTGCTGTTCAGTTAGTCTGAATCAGTAAGGTCCAGTACCTCCAAGGCATAAGCATCAAAAGCGTGTCTCTTCCTCTTTGTGCCATGCGACGCTTGCTGGTGGTTGGCAGTGTCTTTGTCAGAATCTGTTATTTCGATTATCTCCATGCCCTGATGATCACAGGATGCCGTTGCAGTAGATTTCGGAGTGGATGTGCTTGGTCGCTGCCTCTTGCCACCTCTGGTTGTGAATGCATGTATGAGCGCTGGAAGGTGTATTTCCACCAATGACGCAGGCACCCAAACCCGGCTTGTTGATTCCACCGAGTCAGGCTGTGGGTTAGTACTAGTAATGATGCTATTGATAATGGTGGCAGACTCAGTGGGTGTCCACTCCGCCATGTGCTGGACTCGCATCACACCTTTCTTTGCAGCGGTGATGAGTGAGCGTGACTTGACCTCGACCCTGTACTGTTTTAAGGTATGTGAGGACGGTGCATTTCGTTCAGAGTGGATTCGGATGATGGACTCTGGCTCAGTCTGGCATAATATCAGGACAAGGCAGCATGACAGTGAATGTGTGCTGGCCTCACCTCTAGAAGCACGCGGATACAGATACCAGGCCAAATGTAGTCCTGCAACTTCTGCATAGTCCCCATGTTCTCTGCATCTCTTACTGGGCCTGGAGGCGTGTATCTTGACCAGCAAAAGTGGAACTCACACAGATATGCGAGATTCTCTAAGTCCAAGACCTTTGAGCGGATGAGTGAGCGCGGGTCATGATTGACTAGCTGTGCAGAGATCGGGGGCTTGACATATGCGAGTACAACTGACACATCAGGGAAACTGTTGGGAATGTTGTTCAAAAACTTGGGGTGACGCCGGCCAATGTGGCCAAGTGGATCCTTGACAAGGATTTCTTGCAGGCGATGGAACCAGCCATGTATATAGTCCTTCAGCCCTTCATGGCTTGATGCGAGTGAATGAGCCCGAGCCTCTTGAAGGAGATCATTGCCAACACCATATTGCGCCAGTCCACGCGCAGTTTTCCACCTGCAGCCTGGAAGTCCATCCTGGGAGCAAGGTATGTCAAAATAAACTACAAAGAACCAAGTAGGTTCTAAACTTACATGGTAGTCACCACCGCATAACAGAGCCATAAGCAGAAGGCCGCCATCAGAGAGCATTACCTGTCCATGCCTCTGAATATTGTCAGCTGAGTAGATAATGACATTGTCGGGGCAACCCGGGTCGCTGTAGTGCTGCATAAGACTTGTGAGAGACAGGAACAGTGTCAGAATTACCTCCGGAAGACACGTGAAGCCCCAAATACTAGGGCATCGCTGTCCTCAGTGATGACTGCATCAATAATACCACTGCGACTAAGTGCAGCGAGTTCTGCCTCAGCCTCACCAGCAGCCTTGAGAAAGTAGCAGTAATAGTAGATCAATATTCAAAAGTGACTAAGAATGAGGTGGAAAACTCACATCATGAACGGCAAATCCTAGTGTCTCTGCAAAGTGCTTGAATGGTTCTGTCAACCATGATGGAGTCTTCATAACATGTTTGCCTCTCTTGATAGCGGGCTTGGCTGGTCCATCAAAGACGATGATGACCTCACTCGGAATGCAGTACAGACGAGCTAATTTTCGAAACAGTGACTTTAACTCAGCATTTGCTCCAGCTTGAGCATGACCTCGGTAAGGGATGTGTTGGCTCTCAGCCATCCAAAGACTTTTGTTGTATCATGTGAGTTCAGACTTTGAAGATTCAACAAGACTGCTCACTTTGCATCAACACCCAGCCGAAGCCTGTTGGTTCTGGGCCCTTCAATTGTTGAAGGATCATGTTTCTGAGCAATGGTCCAGGAAGTGGCATATTCAAGTAGTGAGTGCTTATCTCCAGCTGGAGCAACAGCCTGCATGAAATTAGCTCTCAACACACAGTAAACAGTAAGGTGAAAGAATATACCGTCCAGAGGTCATTGATTCCCATGACAGCCCAAGCTTAAGGATGGATGGAGGCCCCTATTCACTATTTGCTCATCTACAACGTATATAAGCACACATAACCACTGGCATGTTGTCCACCACGTCATGCTGTGTCATTGCATTCTCTCTCTTTTTCGCAGCTCTATCCATCATGCACTGTGTTATGTTTCTGTCTCGAAGAGATACATTATGCTTGTTTTCAGAGGCGAATGAAGAACAAGACTACAAATATTGTATTTCCTGAGTTGCTACTGTAAATACATTGAATGGTACATACACCTTCGTAACTTCAGTCCTCAAATTGTGTTCTGAGTCAAGTCCCACACATGTAATCGGGAAGGGTGACAAAGTTTCAGTGGGTCCTGAAAAATAAAGGGTTGAGTGGTGGTTGTATACAGTGCAGAATACTCGCTGTAAATTGGACTGGATGGGGCGGAGGTTGTGCTATCCGTAAGTGGCGAGGATGGGCCATGGTTGTGTGCTGGACACTTCAAGGCAGTGCGGGGCATGGGGATACCCATCCCCGATACTGATGGCTCGAGCTCAAACGAGGATCGACACGCTCACAAACGTCGAACGGTAGGCAACAAGTTGGATCAGCATAGCTCGAGCTCGAATGAGGATCGACACACTCACAGGCTGCGAATGGTGAGCGACGACTTGGATCAGCATGGCTCTTGCTCGAATGAAAATCAACATACTCACGCCCTGCGAATGGTTGGCGATGACTTGGATCAGCATGGCTCGAGTTCGAATGAGGATCGACAGATTCACTTCCTGCGAACGGTGGGCAAAGACTTAGATCAGCGTGGCTCGAATTTGAACGGAAGACAAACTCACTTCCTGCGAACGGTGGGCAAAGACTTGGATCAGTGTGGCTTGAATTCGAATGGAATTCGAATGAGGGTTGACAGACTTGCCATCTGTAAACGGTGGGAAACGACTGACTTTACACCTCTTCGCTTGACCTCACTTGTTCTTCCTAACGCAGACCTCTCCCTGATTGCACTGACCTCTAGGACGCCAGGAAGGTCGATAACACTCAGAATCGGGCGCAAACTGCTTTCAACTGGCATGTGTTGGTAATCTGTCACAGGGATGTGGAAGGGTCGGTGTGGCAGGTCGAAGGAGGATGCAAGAAGGCAGAGATGAAAAAACGTTGAATTAGTAAATATGTACCAGACGACAGTAATATGACGTAGGACTACACACCGATATTAACAAAAACCATCCTCTGTTCGAGCGGTACTTTCGTCTTCACCACGTGCATAGCACAGTTGAGTGCCCAAGCCGCCTTCGTACAGTCCATGACACCACCATCCTTCAAATCTCCAGACATATACCTGTAGAAAGCTTCAACAACATGTTTCACGACGGAGTCGTCAACCTCCCACAGCGTGCCAACGACACTCTTGAATCCTGAAAATTGAATACCAGCTGCGAGGTCGATCACTTCATCGGGCGTCTCCTCATCACCGACGGCAGTGTGACAAGCCGATAAGAATGTGAACTCGGCCTGTGGAAGATGTCTCTCCATGATGTCATCGAGCAGTGTCAGATGTTCGTCTCGCATGACAAAATGCGAATCGTAAGGCTGTTTAGGGTCCTGCTTCCCATGACAAGCAAGATGCACCCAGGTGTTAGCGCCAAGTCATGAGTTGAGTGAGAAGCTGCCAAAAAGCTATTAAAAAAACACTAACCATTGAGGCTACTTCGGAAAGACAGCAATGTGGTTGACTTACGAGCGAGCAAGGCAGGATGTGCAAAGATACCACGAGCGACGACCAAAATGCTCACTGAAGGGTGATGGGTGGAAGATCGAGAGGGTGAATCGTGAATATCAGCACTTGGGACAACATGGAATTGAGGAGTGCGTCATGTGTTCGATGTCCGATGTAGGACTAGCAATACAGTCGGACAAGGAATAAGATTAGGTAGTTGAAGACTGGAAAGGGACAAAACAAAATGGACATACAAGCACCCGCCTGAGGCAGGCGCAAGTAGAACCAGAGCTGCCTCCGCCTGAGGCAGAAGTGGTCAACTGCGGGTAGAGAGGAGGGATGTGGAACATCAACAAAACAACACGTAGCGTATATGATCTAATATTTTGGGGTTTCGATGATGTGGAATATGATAATTCTATAATTACATAATCCCCGACTCCCATGTTAGTGGAGGAGGGCTTTGTTGAACACAAACATATTCCCATGCGTCAGCCAATGTGCAAAGCTGTGCACTTGGACAGAATCTTAACTTTATTATCATCTGCTGAGTGCTCTGAAGAAAAATGATTGAACATTTTGATTCAAATCTTACATGGGGGGAGATTTGAGGAAAATTTGCATAAAACACATTTTACCTGTTGGAAAGGAATTTTACCCCAATATAAGATTTGAATCAAAATGTTCAATCATTTTTTTTCAGATCTTGCTGTCAGTTAAATGTCTTTCTTTTACAATGTCAAAATGATTCATAAAATGTAGAATTTTGCCCAGGATTTGTCCACTCATCTAATTTTTTTCATTTTTACTGTGTCAAAATGTATAGTAAGAATGCTAACTTTATCATTAACATTTCAAAACAAATCTTGCATAGTCCAAAACTCCAAAACTGCCGGTGTGTAAGTGTTCATGAGTGTCCATAACGCGCGGGAGAAGTAAACCTGCGAACCACAAAACAAATGGTCCAGTCACAAACGGTCACGACATGACCGATCGTGACGAGCGGTGACCCGTCTGAACTCTGCCCGCCATCTATCCGATCGCATCCCCATCTCCCAGCTAACCCATCGACCCATCGACCACTAACTAAAAGAAAACAAAGAACTGAAACCAGGGATTGGAAAAAGACAGAAACACGGCCTAAATGTGGCACGCATGGGCACGTGGATGGCATCTCCCGTGAAACAGCAGCGACGCTGTCAATGCCAAACGCTGATGAAAATAACAAGACTTATGCATGGCATCTCGTAGGTTCGGCTCCCTAACTGGGAGGTTGGGAGATGGGGATACAGGGATACGGGGATACGGGCGGAGCATCGATTTCGAAGGAGGTGAGGGGTAGTTGGATGAGGATGGACGAGGATGTTGACGGTCGAGAGTGGGAGAGTAAGGCGAGTGGAATCAAATGTCCTGCTTCCCATCCAGCCCATTAAATATCCCCTGGCCTGTTTGCAGCACAGGTGCACCTTCGCTGCCCGATATGGAATTGTTGGTGCCGCCTTGAGCGGGTGTTAGGTGAGTCGCAAGAGCCTTCGATCATGGTGTTGGCATAACACTTACGGCTGCACAGCACATGTGTTTCGCATACCACCAGAGATCCTCTACGGCATGCATTCCACGATCTCTCGCAGGTATTGAGGCGTGACTGGTGGCAAGCCACACGGACTGGACCGTTTTTTTCTGCAAAGGAAGCCACTGGTGAGCAAGCATATTCCTCAGCTGAAGTCGGTGGCTTCACACTTGTCTGACCGCCATCGACTAGAAAAAAAACGGTCCCAGCGAGCGCTTAGACGGTACCGTTGGGCGCCTAGACAGTCCAGTGTTCACTTCATGACCTAGGTATGGCAATCTTCAACAAAGTTCGCCGCTGATTACATCACTTTCACATAGGGGCCTGGTCAATATAAGGCTTCATGTATTGATCTTGTCTGTCTGTCCTTGTCCCCATCCCACATGCCACTTGACCGCGAAACATATCCTGGGCTTTACAATGCCCTTGCAACACCGGATACAGCACTCGAGCTGGACGATGTCGCTGATGATGTTGCTGCAGAACAGGAGACTCTCACGTCCGAGTCACCCGAGGTTCCAGCCAATAGCAGTGCCAGTGTTACGGATGGGCTCTTGTCCCTTCAAGAGACTCTAAGACATGTGTCAAAAGGAATCTCGGATAGCACTGAGCCTGAATATAAAAGGTGTGCAGTCTCTGTTCTCATTGATCTATGCAGTCCTTCAACTGGAGAAATCACAGGTTAATCTTGAACTGCGACACCTTCCTGAGGGAGCATGGCCTTCTTCAGGATGCCAAGTCCCTGTTTTCTCGTCCACCCCACCGAGAAGCAGCTTACCTCATTGTGGCGTGGATCATGGATGCGTAAGTCTACACCTTTCACTTCTTTTTTTGCTTCTCACATGCCTTCTCGGTACCAGATGTGACTCCGTGAAACTCGATGGGACGAACAAACCATCCACCAATGAGAGAGGATTGTACAGCCATGCCCAGAAGATGCGGGCAGCAATGACATACACATTTGGACGTCTGCAGGGTCTAGGCAACCTGCCGTGGCATGAATCAGAGTTACATAGCGGCCAGATGTTAGGTAACCCCTCGGTGTCGGTCGAGGTGTCTAGTTACATGTGCAGCTTGCGGCGCTGCAAGGTAAGATCATTCACTAATGTTCAGAATGTACTTGACACATTTGCTTGCTGCTCATTAGGTTCAGGCGGGTGAAGTCGCTGTCAGTGCCCACGCCATCACATCTGTCAGTACCAACACTTCCTGTGTAGCTGCTCCACTGATTATTGCTGTTGGTTTACAGCATATACTGAAAAGAATGTATCACTTTAACCATCGCCCTGAAAACTGGGCTATCCTTGATTACCGGCCTGGAGGACGTGGGGATAGCTCGAGTGAATCATCACACTGGGCTGGCGGACGCATCAGGCGTTGCTTGCACGCTGCTTACACAATAGCATTTCTCTGTATGCTACGCTCTGACGAAGTCCTAAAGATACAGCTCCACGACCTTCATTTCTTTTCCAATGGTCTCGTTCTGACGCTTCCATTCAGGAAAACACACCAAAATAGCGGTGCGAAATAGTTTCTCAGCCTGGATCCAATGGCATGCTCACATAATGTTTCAGATATCAAACCTTTTTGGCTGTGGATCATGCCCACGGAAGCGCACCTATGTGCTGTCCAAGCCATTGCTGAGTGGATCATGGCCTCCAGAATTGTGACTGGCTACTTGTTCCGAAAGTTTGCTTCGGGCGATCGAATCGCAGAAGCCAACCAGCCTTTGGTAAGCCTTCCTGAACGAAATATGAATCTCTCAATTGAATCATACAATTTAGACATCTGAACGGTTTCTGGAGTTGTTTCGCAACAATCTCCTGGATATTGGGGTAGACCCCTCATCATATGGTACACATTCATTTCGGCGTGGGGGCTGCCAGTATCTGCATATTGAACGCCAGTGGCTGCTGCATCGCATATGTGAATGGGGAAGCTGGAGCCTTGAGTTTACTAACTTAACCATTGTCAAATATCTCATCTCACACAACGACGATGCCACGGAGCCACATGAACATTTTTTCAACCCTGACCGCAGCCCATCTGTCAAATGCCCACATTGTGGAAGGTCATGCCCATGTGCTTGATACTATTGTCTTGTACTACCTTGCATCAATTTAACAACGACCGTGTTTTGATCCTTGGTGTGAAAATTTTAAGCGCTTGCACCCTTTTCCTGTAACGTGTGGTGGCCTGTCTCCTCCAGTCTACCTTCCTCCCCCCTACAAGATGGTCTTCAAATTTGTACGAGGCAGTGCATTTGAAGGTATAAGAGAGCCTCATCTACGAAAACTTCAACTGACAGAGCATCATCTATGAAAACTCAAATGTAGGCACACCATCAGAACTTTGGTAGGAGATTTATTCAACCTGGGTTGCAGTTTGGGAACTATGGGACAGTGCAAGGAAAGGGTCCTACATCCTTACTTCTTTCTAGCCTTGCCCTTCCCGGTATCTTCTCCTTCGCCTTTGTCGCGCGCTGATGTCTCTGAGTCGTCTACCTCCATGTGACCCTGCTGTGGGTTGGGATTGGGAGTAGTTGTGGTTGTGCGAGGCGGAGGGGAAAGAGGATGGGAGTTAAAGATAGGTGCGGTGCTCGACCCTTCGCCACGATTGGCATTCTGACGGGCGGGTGATGAAGTGTTAGAGTGGCGGGCGCGTTTGGCCGCCTTTCGGTCAGCAATGGAGCGTTCCCGCCACTCACGCTGGCGTTTAGTGGTTGCCAGGTTCTGCCAGAGCGCCTCCTCGACTAATTCTACTCGTTGCGGAGTGAACCAACGCCCTCCGTCTGGAGGCTGGGATGCGCTGGCGTGGATAGGAGGGGCAGGGGTCTCTTCGCCAATGAGATCTGTGATGGAAGGGGACGGACCAGTGATACGAGGCCCGTCCGCGGATTCCTCCGCGAGTCGAGAGGTGAGTCCATTGGTGGTTTGTAGCATGTTGAATGACAGTGAGAACTCCCCGTACCCAGCTGGGGAGGCTCCGTCGAATGCCGTGCTCAACCGCAACTGGATGTCATACTCCAGGTACGCTCTGAGCATGTCGAGCACAACCATAAGGTCCCCGTTGCCCAGTCCATTGGGTAGGGTGTATCGACGAGCGCCGACACGGGTGAGGATTGGTGCCATAGACGTGGGTGCGATGGAGCTAGCGAAGAGTAGAAGAGAGTCGTTGGTGGTGAAGGAAAGGGAGGAGTTGGAGGGAGAGGGGCCAGAAACAGGGTGGTTATATTCTGTGTCATCTGGTTTTAGGTGCCCAACTGACACCTGGGGATCTCCAGTAGGGAGATTCCCGGCCCCTTCTCCTAAGTCTGAGACATCCTCGATGCCCAGCAAAGTGAAATAGTCCTTCAGCACGCCCAATTCAGCCACCCGATCGTAAGGCAGCCAGGTCGTATCCCCTGATTTCCAGAGGATTTGAAATGTAGAGTCAGCCCGTCGACCCGAGTGCATAAGTACTTTGTCAATTGCCCATTCGGACTCGAGTTCTTTGAACTCAGCAACTTGAGTCTCCATTCGTCCGGGAAAGAGACGATCATCGTTGGGTACATGGATGCGGAGGTACGATGAGTGGAAAACGGGGTGGACTCCACGCTGACGAAGGCGGCTTGGCAGGTCCAACTTGTAGGAATTATTACGGTAATCCTCAATGATCTCGTACGGGCCGATGAACTTCGGGGTGAGTTTTCGGGTTGTTCCTTTAGGTAAGGATATGTTCTTCGTTGATACGTACACTAGGTCACCCTTTACCAGCGGGCAAGCTCGGCGATGTTTGTTGGCGTCATATGTTTGCTTGACTCGGGCCCCCAGCACAGCGTCATGGGCGGCCATAACGGCAGTCTTCATCTTCTGAGCGAAAGACCGCACTCCCGGGTATTCTTCAAACCCGGCGGTCTCCCATATCATGGCTCTAGGGAGTCTACCATTAGCCTGAAACGGTGAGGTTTCGGTTGATTCGGATTTTGCTAGGTTAATAGCGAATTCTATGGCAGGCAACTTTGTGACCCAATCCCTCTGGTTGGGGGCGATACATGACCTGAGCATTTGTCCGATTGTTCGGTTCGCTCGTTCGGTTGCCCCATCAGTCTGGGGGTGATACGCACTCGACATCCTTATCTGCACGCCGATGAGTTTGTTGAGGTGAGTCCAGAAGTTACTAGTGAACAGGACATCCCGATCACTGATGATTGCTTTGGGGATGCCATGATACTTGTAGACCTCTGCGAACATGAGCTCAGCTACGTCTTTAGCGGTGTAAGTCGTTCTGCTTGGTACGAGATGCACCATTGATGTTAACAGATCGATAATCACAGTTATTGAATCGTATTCCCCGTCCCGATCCTTGGACGGGGGCAAAGGTCCCATGAAGTCAACCCCAATGGCTTCCCATGGCTGGGATGGGACTGATAGTGAGTTCAAAAGACCCATTGGTCTTTGGTTCGAAGACTTACTGCGCTGACAGGTTTTGCAGGATCTGCAGAACGCTTGTACTTCCGGGACCATTGTCTTCCACCAGACATGTTCCCGTAGATACGACAGGGTTTTGTCAGCGCCGAGGTGGGCCAACAGCGAGTGGGCCTGGTCGATGAGGACGTCCACAAGTCGTCGTTCCCCGACCTTAACGTCAGGTATGCAGAGCGCTGTTCGGTCCTTCAGTCTGATATTGATGAGACCGTCTCTGACCACGAAGTTCCTGAACTCTTTAGGTGAGTCTAGGACCTTCCTGAACATTGGGTCCTTGTGGTACTGATGCCTTAATTGATCTAACAGTCCAGTTTCGTGCGGATACATCACCGGTATCCGGTGTTCCACTCCCTGGGTTCCCTCGTCAAGAGTATCGGACCCGGCATTCTTGGCTTCAGCATTTTGGGCTTCGGCTTCTCGCACCCCCCCTTCCATTCGTGGTGTAGGGGAGGTAGGGCCGGCACGAGGACCATGCAACACGAAGTGGTCCTTCATACGTCTAGCGAACTCCTTGCTAGTCTCTGGGCGCCCTGTTTCAGCGGGCGCCACCGGCTGACGGGCGTGTGTTTTAGGTTCCGTGTCCCTCTTCCGCGAGACCATCTGCTGATCCAACGCTTCCGCAGCCCTGGCCAGAATCTCCCATGAGGCTTGGTCCCTCGCAGCCACTGCTGTTTTATGAGCAGACAATGTGTCCGAGGTAGGATGTCGTCCGGGTGCCCGGTGGGTTGGTGTAACCCCGCTCACATCAGGCTCCTGACGAGCACCCATGCTTAGGTTATGTGCCCGGCGGGCTGTGGTCACCGGTTTAGGTGGCAGGCGGTCGTTGGTAGCCACCACGACCTTCCCAGCGATCCGGGAACTTCGCCGGGGCTCAACATGCTTAGCCTCTTCGCCCACCAGTACGGGCATACTCACCAGGCCAGAGGCATCCAGAGGAGGGGTGTCCTCGTCATTGGCAACATATTCGCTCGTCGCCCGCACTGTTCCAGGGGCGTCGAAGTCGTACATGCGCGACAGAGCATCAGGGAGGATGTTGTGTGCACCCGGGAGGTATTCCACGGTAAAGTCAAACTCTCCGAGTTTCTCCATCCACCTGGCCTGACGACCTGACAGGTTCTTCTGGCTCAGCAGGTGAGTCAAGCTCTTATGGTCCGTCAACCATGTGAACGGACATCCCTGCAGGATATCGCGGTGCTGCAGCATGGTCTCCACGCCGGCCAAGAGCTCTTGCTCATGGACGGGGTAATTGCGCTGTGCGGTGTTCAGCTTGGCTGAATAGAACGCAGCCACCTTAGCCTTACGCCAATCAGCTCCCTGGGCAATGACACCTCCAACGCCTGTGGGACACGCGTCAGTCATCATCCAGATCTGTGGATGGCCTGGTACATAGGTGAGTGGCACTCTGCTATGTGACGAGCACGCGCTGACATATCGTTTGACCTCTTCGAAGGCACACTGCTCAGTGTCGTCCCAGCGGAAGGGCACGGTGTCCCCGCAGACTGCTGAAAGCACCCCCAGAGGGATCCTGACCCGATGAATGTCATTGGCCAGGTATCCTACAGCTCCTATGAAGCCGCGGCATAAGTCTCGGTTGGTGGGAGATTTCCACTTTAGAACACTGTCGACCTTGTCGGGGTCCATGCGGATCCCGTCATTACTGACAATTCGTCCCAGAATCCGCATTTCGGGCTGCAAGAACTTAAGTTTCTTTTCGCTCAAGAAGAGCTGCTCACGCTCTAGGATCTGCACGATCTTCTGGACATGTACGATATGTTCGGCCAGCGAGTCCGAGTAAATGATGATATCATCAAGATACACATCCATGAATATGCCGATGTACTCACCAAATAGGTGATTCATTACCGCTTGGTAAGTGGCTGGGGCATTGCAGTCTCCCTGTTGCAAGACGTGACTAACCATATTACCGTCTGGGGTAGTCATAGCAGTGCGAGGCACATGCTCTGGGATCACCCGGATCTGTTCATAGGCATCCTGGCCGTCCATCAAGGACCTGAACAGCCTTCGTGCGACTCGACGTAGGATCCCCTCCATGTCAGGTAAGGGTGATGTCAGTTTTCGCGTGTTTTTGTTTCGCTCACGGAGGTCAACGACCGTTCGCAGACGGTCTGTTCCTGGTTTGCGGATGAAGAGCATGGGCACAGTGTTCCCAGCACTGGTCACCTGCCATCTTCCTGAAGCCAAGTAAGCCTTCCGTTTCTCAGCCCATTGTGGTCTCATGGGCTCTGGACAACGTGAGGGCCGCCAGGGGTATATCTTACCCTCGTCAATGAGCGGTATGGTGTGATTTATGGCACGCAAGGGAGGTAAGCCGGTATCTGCAGCTCTGGTGCACAACGGACGCGCTAATTGGATGAGACGCTTTCTAGTGTTCTCGACCTCGACCTCAAGGACCTCAACCGCCCTTGACTCCAATGTGGTTACCCCACTACCTTTGAGGGGTAATGGGTCAGTGCTGCCCAGGATCACACGAGGTGAGTTGAACCCCACTGTCACGCTATGCTGATACAGGAATGGTGTTCCCAGGATGAGATCATAATTCTGGAGATTGATCACGTCGAAATAGCGACGGTAGTTAGTCCCTTGGTACTGAAAACGGGCCTCGGCCCCGTAGTTCACCTTTGACCGGGATCCTTGCACGGCCAGTTGTATAGTTAGTGGCTTTGCCAACAAGGTAAGCCGACATTTTAATTGCTCGGCCGTGGTTAACGACATAAAGTCCGCTAGGGATCCTGTATCAATCAGGGCTCGAGCGGGTCGCCCGTCTACATGGACGACCACCACTATCGGTTTCGGGATGGCTCTGACCATGTCCCGTGTAGTCGCCGAGTTCCGTTGGAGTGCAGGGTACCGGCCGGGTGCTACCTGTACCCCGTATACCACGCATTCGGATATGGACTCCTCCAAAATGGACTGGATCCAGCTGTCTGGTGGGTCATCCAACGAAGAGAACAGCTCAGTGAGTCCGTCATACTGCCCATCATTTGAAGCTAACAGATCGTTGTTGAACTGCAGATAGGCTTTGCCCAACCTGCGTCGGTACCACCGCACAGGGTTCCAGTGCCACTGGAGTACCGTCGCCCGTGGCAGGTAAGTTTTTAGATCCAGGGCGTTGTCGGTAACGCAATACAGGTGCTCACTGATTCGTTCGCAAACGAATCTCCTATCCATCAATGAGGACCAGTAGTCCTCGGGGTGGACTAGGTACTCCTCCAACCACCATTCAACACGATCCTCGATGGGGGTACCCATAGGCCATCGTTTGTTCGAGCGTTGCCGCTCTCGTTTGTATAACAAACATTTATCCCATCCTTGCAGACCACTACTGAAGTACCATCCTAGGTGCAGCCAATAGGCTCTATCGATCCGAAAATCTGGGTTTTCCAGCCTTTGACGCGATACCCACATGTGTTCAATCCCAGAACCGTGGTGGTGGTAGTCCTCTACGACATACCAGTCCCTCTTCTTGTGCTTGGCGACCCAGAACCGATCTGGGTCGTTCCATGCCACAAGATGCTCGTTTTTTCGGTTGTCATCCCAGGGAAAGTGCATTCCCTGCAGGATGTCCTCGGCTCTACGAGCCACCGGGTCTCGGAACCGTACGCTTGGCTCGTCCTCCTGGGGGTCCACGGAGGGCATTTCAAATGGGCCTTCCATGAACAAGCCCACGGACCCTACAAACAGGTTGTCTGAAGGTTCAGACACCTCAGCCAGCCGCCTCATGCGGTCCTCATCACTGGTGCCCACGTGTACACCAAAGCTGGGTATCCCGGGTGGTTTACCGGGTGAATCAGATTTGAGGTGCGTGTTCTTTGGGCACTGTCGCGAAACGTGCCCTAATTCACCACAGATGAAGCATCTGCCCTCCGTTCGACGGCGCTCCCGCTCTTCAGGGCTTATTCCTTTGACAGTGGGTCCTTTCGTGGCGCTCTTTGTTTCTGGGAGTCGAGCTCCCCAACGCTTTCCACCCACTGGTCTTTCCCGGCCTCGTTTTGGAGGTGGGTTAGTTCCTCGATGTCTTGGACCTCGGACCGGTGAAGATGCATTGGCCGTTAAGGCCGTTACTGACTTCTCCCTGTTCCCAGATTGTTTGTCCCTTCCCATAGGGACGGAGTGCGCAATCTCAATGATCTCGGCTGCAGATTGTACCTCCTTGAAAGATGAGGTCTCCGGGTTGAGCTCTTTCTTCCAGAGTTCCCGTTGGATCTCTGTTGACAGACCCGTCCACAGTCTGGACACGCGATCACGCTCGTCTACATCACCAATCATGTTCCAGAGCTCGTTGAGTTCATACACGTAGTCTCGGACAGGCTTCTCGTTCTGGAAGCATCGCTTCAATTTTTCGCGCTGCTTCGTCCGGAAGTTAATAGGGAAGCAATAGTTGAACATTTCCGTAAAAAATTCACGCAATCGCCAACGGTAGGGGTCGCCGGATATCTCTCGTATGTAGAACTCATGAGCTCTCCCTTTCAGGAAGTGCGAAAGCACAAAGACCTTCTTTTTGGACCGGACATTCCCATCATTCACATAGGCCGTTCCTTCGGTTATGAAGCGATGGAAGGCCCGGGAGTCAACAGCCCCATCATAGGTGGTAGGTGCTATTGGTTTCAATGTAGTTTTCTTACTCTTTGAGCGTTTCTTTGCAGACTTCTTAAGTCTCCGCTCACGGGCTCGCTCATCCCTTGAGCTGGACAAACTCGTCGAGCTGGACGAGCTCGATTCTGAGCTGGACGACGAGTTGTATCCGTCGTCCGGGCATTTCTTATCCAGGCGCCCAAGGGCCTGGCCAATGTAAGACTTTGGTGCAACCTGATTAACAGGTTCCATCGCCTTTGGGGTGGTACGTCTTTCCCATTCCTTGGTTGCCGGGTTCACAACCTTATTGACTAGTTTATCAATAGATGCCCCGCCCGTATCCCCGTATCCCCGTCTCCCAACCTCCCAGTTAGGGAGCCGAACCTACGAGATGCCATGCATAAGTCTTGTTATTTTCATCAGTGTTTGGCATTGACAGCGTCGCTGCTGTTTCACGGGAGATGCCATCCGCGTGCCCATGCGTGCCACATTTAGGCCGTGTTTCTGTCTTTTTCCAATCCCTGGTTTCAGTTCTTTGTTTTCTTTTAGTTAGTGGTCGATGGGTCGATGGGTTAGCTGGGAGATGGGGATGCGATCGGATAGATGGCGGGCAGAGTTCAGACGGGTCACCGCTCGTCACGATCGGTCATGTATACTCACCTCTGATGTGATTGAGGAAATTGTGCTCTCGGTCTGCAATTGAGGTAGGAATACTCCACCACTCCCAGACCTAGTTGGTGCAGTCTCACTGGTGGTTACTGAGGACTCAGGCCTGTATGGGTGCTTTGCGATGATGGCTTGTGCCTGCCAGCAACAATTATGTGTAAGCATGATCAAGTCGTGAACTCTGACTTACCCATGGAAAGATCTCACTAATCTCTTGTGGAGTGCGCAAATCCTTTGAATGCTCAACTGTATTGTGTCCATCATGGACTGTCGCATTTGGTTCCCCATCACCACGGAGTTTTGCAAGACGCTGTGCTGACAGTTTCAGATGGCTTGTTTTTTTCTTACCTCCTCCGATAGTGGCAGTGTGACTGCCCTTGTGTGGTCGATGCATGCCTGGACGAAGCCTTGCAGTAATTTATATAGTATTAGTAGTCAGGTTCCCTCAATGAACGAGTGTGTATTTTATCAGACTCACCTGTCCCACTGGTCTTGGTCCTTACTGAACTTCTCCAGCTGAGATTGGAGGACACTTTTGTTGGCACAGACCTTGAGACCGAAGGTGCGGCAGTAATGTTTAAGGGTCTTCACTGTCATGCTCGAACTAGTATTGTGCCATCATGTTGAGTTCAAAGCTCCAAAGCAAGAGAATCAACATACATGGATAATAATTCCACTTGTGGTTGCCCGCTACTAGTGTCAAAGCCTACAGGAAAGGGCAAGGCTGTGGTCTCCATCATGAAATGGTGGTGTGAGACGAGCAGTGTCTGAAATTTTTTGTGAGTTCAAATGCCAGAGTCTGATGGAATCAATGAATCCCAGGACCTAGAATAGGGCCTGGTTTAGCAAATTTAGATGTCTGTCGACTGGATCACACAGCCTGGGCCGGTTTCACAAAGCGCTGACATCATCATTCACTCCCTGTCAATAAATGACAAACAATCTTTTATTGGCTGACTACGGTACTGATGTAACTCAGGTACTACATAGTCAGCTCTTTGAAAAAAAAATAGCCACTATGAATGTGACTGTAAATGCCGCAAATGTCTAGGCAAATCAAACACACATTCAGCCTTCCGGACCATTGGATTCATAGTACGCTTGTAGATCCCCCAGATTTGCCCTGCCAAACAAATACTTGCAACGTGCCATACGTGCGCTATTTTTGTCGCCAACACAGTGGTTATTTGATCTGGTGGTTGTACTGCGTGTTTCCACGAAACGACTACACTTGGCAAATAGATGATGCAGCGTTTCCAGACACTCACACCCGAACTGGCACCACGGTGATATGCTTCCCATACGGGCAAATCGTACACTCGCAGAGTCCAGTTGGCCTGATCGAGCTGTACCAGCTCTGAGTATGCGTATGGCATCTGCACGTAAGGATGGTCAGGTGGTGCACGCAAGTCATAAAGAGGCAGTGCGAGGGTACGACCAGGTACAAAGGTCGGATCAGCTGCAGTGTGATTGGAGAGTATGTGAGTAAGCAAAGATGGCAATGGATATTCAATAAACTTCAAAGAAGGGGGGTATAAAACAAAACTGTCCAATTCAAACGTAGCATACAGCACGGGATAGGCCTGAGAGTGAGAGTCATGAGCAATAGCATCTACTAATGCGTTCGCTTGTGCTGGCAAAGACGATGAGTTGGTGTGTGCTTTGACATGAATGAGAGCTGGAGGTTTGGGAGACGACGATATGATGGAGTGTAGCCACCGATACAACGACCGTGCAGGAAGGGCAGACCATGCGTGAGGTAGGAGGGACACGAGAAGACCGGAATTAGTGAGTGATCCTACAGATGTTGTGACTTGGACAAGTTTTATTGCAAACCGAGAGACATAAATACATTGACACGGCAGTAAAGGACACGAAGCATCATTTACAATTATCGAAAGTTCCCGCGGGAGGACATTGAAAACAGGTTCAGCTCTGATTCCTGCAAGGACATGGAGCATGCTGGAAGAGGATTCGTCAGATGATCGATCGACTACCACATGAATCTTGACTTACTCGGACACAAGGTATTCTAATCCATCGCGAATGTAATCAATATGGGTGTGAACAAGTTCAGGTGCCGCAGCCTGAAGTGTGGACATCGGCATCTCAGTAGGCTTGAGTTGAGCAAGGAGTCTGGGAAGGGAGATGATCTTTGACGCCGTTCTGGAGTCCACTGGGGATATCCATCCGCACCAGAGCCAGAGAGTTTTGGGCCGGAGTTTGCTCCTTGCGCTTCTTGGCATGCTCAATTGCATGCCTAAGGTAATGGGCTTGACCTGAAGCGAGGGCTCGGTGACCACGAGAGGCACTGGTGCCAATTTTGGATGGTTTCACAGCAAGGCGTGTAGCGGAAGGGGTGTTCTCAGAGTCGATGTGACGAACGTAGTTAGCCATTTGCGAGACCTTTGTGAAGTGATAAAGGCGGAAGAACTGAAAATAGCGGCCTAAATGTCAATGAAGGCTGAAGTGCTTCGAGGGATCGAATCCAAGTCAATAACGGACGTGTTTGTCGAGGGCAACTTGATTGAGGACTCCATGATATGAAAGGCACCTGTATGAACCCGCAAGGGAGCAAGAAGTCGACGAAGCAATTTGAGTCGACCGTGACGTGGGTGAGCATATCCATGCGAGAGCAAGAGCCACAACGTACGTTATCCAGAGGGGAGGTTGCGCCACACAATGGATCAGGTCTATGAGCATTGAACATCGAATGTCGACACTGGAGCGTAGGAGCACTCGAACGATGGTAAGTCCAAGTAAAGTTGTTGGACGACTGTGACAGGTCATGTGATTGTGTCTTTGGTTCATCACACTTTGTTCTGTAAGTTAGTAACTCATCCCACTGTATTACTACTAGTTCTACATCTTCTCTTTTTACCTGGGCTGGCCAGGGCAGTCCGAAGTTGCTTCGAACCCTGAGCTGATCCCAGTGTAAATGCAGACCCGGCCAGGGCATACAGAGTTGCTTTGAACCCTGAACCGGCGAAGCAATTTAAGTGCATTTTTGTTTTTGTGATTCGCATTCTTTCCCATCAGTTCTGTCCTCATCCTGTAATGGCACCGCTTCCCTGTTCTCTGTGCAAACCTGTCTTCGGAAACGGCAGCCCCAAGCTATCATCACGCTCTCCTAGCCATCCTCACTACCATGCATCACAGCCTCATACCGAACTGCAGTGCAAATCCATGGGACTGTTCGGAGAGAGGATGTTGCGCCAGTCGATGTGCTCCTGGCATGCAGGATCCAGGTACGATTCATTGAACATGGTCATTGGCAACTGATGGCATCCCAGAGGTGCCTCATAATCACGACACGTCATTCCTTCTTTTGCGCAGGCAGAGTCTCAGATCTTGTTGTCGGTTAAATGTCTTTCTTTTACAATGTCAAAATGATTCATAAAATGTAGAATTTCGCCCAGGATTTGTCCACTCATCTAATTTTTTCATTTTTACTGTGTCAAAATGTATAGTAAGAATGCTAACTTTATCATTAACATTTCAAGACAAATCTTGCATAGTCCAAAACTCCAAAACTGCTGGTGTGTTATGACTTGACTAGCGAACTCACGTGACTGGTGGAGATGCTGAAAAACAATATCTGGCTGATAAAACTCAAGCACAGTTTATCTTTCATTACTAAGATGTGATATACTCAAAGATATGATACTAGCAGGCTCGTACCCACCACAGCTGGAGAGGTTGGAGGGCGGTCTTACTACACAGACTCGGAATCAATAGATACCACGTGACTATTCAAACCCAGCACAACCTTATCCCTCAACCTCTCCAGCAGCGGCTGGCACAAAACATTTGTAAACAAACGTCAGCCACCAGTGGAGTGTGAACTAAACCTCACGGTGCGCTGTAGAGACTTGTGCCTCTCATTGTGTGATATGGCAGTTTTCACTAGGGAGTACATGGCACGAACTTGTAGCATCACTCTGCATGCTATCCACAGCTATTCCTATATGAGGCACAGCTTTCCCGTGCAACGCGCAACATGCGCGCACGCTTTCCTGCGCTTGAGCGCCCTATAGCGCCAGCCATCCGGAAGCATCCATCCACTGTCCACCAAGCTCTCTAGTGCGTATATTTCCATTTCTCTTATTTACATATTGTTCCACCTTTATTTTATCATGGACCCTTACTTACATATATCTTTACATACCTTACTCGGTAGCGCTTCGGCTCCGCATGACAGCGCTTAGGCACCATATATAAGCCCCAGTAGTACATACCAGAGAGGAGTTTAGCAACCCCCATGTTCACACTACACAACTCAGCTTAGTTGGAATCCCTCCCTAGAAAGTAGCACTTACATCTCATATCTCTATACACGTGCGTGCACTTTCCTGCACCTTCGCGCCTCACACGCACCTATGCTTTCCCATGCTTCGCATTGGCCAACCAGTAGCACCTTCAGCGCAGCGCCGAAACCTTTGCAAGTCCTAAGCCTTGTCATCCCTAGCTAAGCATTTGTGAGTTCTAAACCTTGCCCAAACTGTTATGCACTCAAATAGGTCTGTTATGTGGAGCCCTAAGAGGGGCATCGTCCACTAACATTCGTGATGTAACCAGAAGGATCCGATATAGCGAGCGAGACTGGCGACATTGAGTTGGCAGTGATCGCAGATGCGCGTGTCACGTGACTTCTAAGACGGATGTCTTTGAAGTCACTGAAGTCAAAGTAAGGACTGTCCTGTCCGAACGATGACCATTGATCGAGGTAGACTTAGATGCAACGAGCACCTAAGAAAGTCATACTAAAGACAAGAGCTGGAGAGGCTCTTGAAGGAAGTAGTTTCGAGGGAAGATTGAGTAGATTCAAGTTAGGGAATCTAGTACAGGATGACCAACTACTTATACTAAGTGGAGAGGATTGAGGGCTGGGTTACCGTACTGTAGGTAAGGGTAGAGGGGAAACAGAAATGGTATAGGTATGCTGGCAACACAGCCTAATTAGTGGTGGGGGGTCGAATGCAGAATGAGACCGAGGAATGTTGGACTGAACCAATGGTAGTGATACAATGCACAGCAGGTGCGAGTCAAAGGGAACAGGAAAGGAAAGCCACATTGGTGGCATGAGTCACGACAAGTCATAGTGCCAAGGCACATGCACACATTAGTGCTTTATCAGAGATAAGGTCGAGGAGGGGGTGGAGACGAGGGGCGAGAACGGTGTAGAAACAACAATACAGAGAGGAACAAAACAAAGATGGCTCCAAACTGATATATTTGTGTTGTGGTCTTTGCACTGCCTAGTCTGCTATACTTGCCTGACAAGTGCGTTTGACCCAGGGGTCTGCGGTCTGGGAATAGTCTTGGGGGTAAGTGAGTGATGTGGGGTCAATAGTCCGAGCGCGGGAAACAATGTCCAAAGGTATAATTACAATGTCCGATGCAAAAGCGTCGGGTCCGATGTTTTCGGGGTTTCGGGTTATCGGGTTCGGGTTCGGGGTGTCGGAAACTAATAGTAACGCTATAGCGAGCGTTGGAAGAGCGAGCGGTGTGCGCAATAATAACAATGACTGATACGGGCGGTGAAGGAACGATGATATTCGCAATATCAACTAAGAACTACGAAATATCGGGTTTGACCACTAAGCGTCGGGGAACTGCTCCCCTCTACTTGGATAATGAATAATGCTCGAGGTCAGTCCAATATATATGTAAGTACGTAGAAATGCGGAACCCGTAGGCGAAAGTAGCGGCGGAGTATTTCGGATCCGAAGTACATGTAAATAAACATGAGGTGCTGCGGACTATGGGAAAACATGTAATAGCACTGGCTACGACGTGAGTAATGTGCGAAATAATGAACTACACACCTAGTGGGGCTAGCAAGACAGGACGGGACACGGATAGGACAAGTGCGCGGGAAAACATCGGGTCCGATGCGGCCTAAACGTCGGGTTGGCGGGTTAGCGTCAGATAACATCGAGAAGTGATTAGCATGTGACGGGTATTTGACGTGTACTGTAAAATAGCTCGATACGAGCCCAGCGCCAGCTTGTGTCCTACAACGGTCCCGAGGATATGGTCAATGGATATTCGGTAAAGGAGTGCGAGCCGGTAGATGGTAAGGGCGAGGATGAAGGGAAAATGGTAGGGGGGCCACGTGACCGATGTTACTTGTAACAACTATCATATACTATAAGACCGGGGGTAATGAATAATGTTTGGGAAGGGCTGCTGAAGGTTTAAAACTGCAAGTCTTAATTACTGGCAAGGTTTAGGATCTATCAAGAGGTTTGGGCAAGGTTTAGAACTCACAAATGCTTAGCTAGGGATGGCAAGCCTTAGGACTTGCAAAGGTTTCAGCGCTGTGCACTGTGAGGTTTAGTTCACACTCCGCTGGTGGCTGACGTTTGTTTACAAATGTTTTGTGCCAGCCGCTGCTGGAGAGGTTGAGGGATAAGGTTGTGCTGGGTTTGAATAGTCATGTGGTATCTATTGATTCCGAGTCTGTGTAGTAAGACCGCCCTCCAACCTCTCCAGCTGTGGTGGGTACGAGCCTTTGATACTAGATGCAATAGATGTTGGACTTAGTGTTTGGTGATGAGCTTGACTCGGAAGTAGCCGAATGAGTGGCTGAAACCT